TCATGCAGTCAAAAGCACTGATGTAAGCGTCACTTTATATAATCAAGCACACAGTCTCAGAAAAATAGATAAGGACCAATGAGTTAATGTTGGACCATACTATTGAGGTTAATCTTGGGGCTTTATATATACTGAGACTGTATACTATTTCTGTTAAGATTTTATTTCACTCTCCCTTCACTTGTTAGGATTAAATGTTTTAAATTATTTTCCTAAGCAAAACATTCTGAGTGGGATCTTAAGTGATTCTGGCTTAAGCAGATGATGTCTAAGTGATCATGATAGTTTTATACTCTGAAGATCTGAATAAACCTTGCATTTTTCTACGATTCATGCTGTCAACATAGTGCAGATTGCTTTCATTTCTTGCTAATTCTTTCGATTGGTATAGTGATTTTTAATTTAATTTTCACACATTGGGGTATTGGAATAATATTGGAGGGTGAGCTTAAACCTGAAAACCATCTAATACATTAGAATATAGATGTTTCACTCTTCATAAAACACATTCATTTTTACCAATTATTAGTCTTAGCAACCCTTTTCTTGTTATATTAAATTTTTAAATAATTCTACATTGTTGAATATGAGTTTGAAGCTACATATTTGTTAAGGGCTCAGTAGGGTAAAGGTTTAAAAGAGATCTGGTAGAATCAAAGAGCTAGAAAATATATACAATTTAGATGATCTGTAATCCAAGGTATATGGTTTATATCAGCCTCAACACAATATGTCAGGGTGGTCTACATTGCACATGCAATACATCTCCATAGAATGCTTTAGCAAGGAATATGCTGGCAAAACATGATTTTGTATTAGGGGTCCGAATGGTTCAACTTTGGCACAACAAAGGGTGGGTTGGGTCTTCCAATGTTTTACATGTGGCTCAGTCTCTGAAAGTTTTGATTCACTTCAGACTCGGAAGACAAACATAGAACATCTCTAACATTTATCATTTAATCTTAAATATTTTATGTTGAAAGGAAAATTTTGTTTAAAGTCTTATATAAAACCCAATTGTAAACAAATATGCGGAATAAATTTGCAATTTAACATTTTTGAATCAAAATCACGAAAAGATCTTAGTAGCCTTGAAAATCACAAAGATAATATTCCCATAGACCTGTAGAGAGTTGTGTCAGTCAGTAAGACTAGCAGAGTCAGACAGATTTTCTCACCACTGTCAATCCTTGAGGGGCTACATTTTAACACCTTTACTTTAACAAGATCCAAAAATGTTGTTTGGTCATGCTCTCTGTGGTAAATCGGCAGAATCAGCAATTATAGTTACTCTCTACAGTCTGATGGAAAGCTCCTAGAAAACATTTAGTATAATCCAAAGTTGTTTAAAGTTTAAGAATACTTTTTGTATGCATTTAATTTTGTTAACCAATTTCACCACTTAGTTAATAAAAAGGTGGTCTGGTATGATTGGCTTATTTTTTATCATTTTTTGAATAGTAATAACAGATATAATACTGGTTTTAATTCTGGCTGTAAATGTTTTTGACAAAGTTATAACACTCAGTTCTAAAGATGAGAAACACAAAGATTTAGTTCAAGTAAATATTTACATTTCAGCAAAAAATCTATCCAGGCTTACCTAAACATATTTAACTTATCATTGATAACTGTCTTAAATCTCAATACAGTTGATATTTCTTATCTATAGTAGCCTCCTTAAAACATTTGTTCACAGCTTTAATACATATGTAAACACTCATAATATCTGAAAATATTACCCAGGAAAGTAACCATATTTTGTAATATACAGCAAACCCTGAGTGAGTTGAGCAGCCTATGACTGTAGTTCTCTGTCATGTAAATACTAGAAAGTCAAACTGGAACCAAAAATGCTGTCCAATAACTCAGATGCGAGTAGGTAGTTACCAGTTTCACCACCAGGTGGCTCATTCGGGTCAGATAGCATGCTGGGTATAGTAGAAAGTTCCCTTTAACTAAAATATTCATCAGTTTTAGTGGTTCAATTTTTATATCACCCTTATGTATCTAATGGTTATGCAAATTAAAATATGTCCAATAAAAGAAAATATAATCTGTACAATGCAAGAAAAGATATTCCACTTTTTGTGGTTTTATAACATGGGGTCTATGGGGAATCTCCCTGAACTAGAAGTCACATTTTCAAAATTGAGAAATAATTTTCGTAACCATATTTCTAAATTTTCCTTTATAGTAGATTTCAAATATGACATCACTTTGACCGCATTTTGAATATTTGATAACATATATCAAGATTATTTCTACTCGCATCAAGTCTATTGACACATACTCCTGAATTATTTGTCTTTCAAGGAGTTTTTTTACAGATGTGTGAACACTTACAGAATTTACATAATTGATTTGACTTTAATAAAACTTCTTTATATTACAGAAGTGTTGAAGACTTACAGAACTTAAATTATTGATTTGACTTTAACAAAACCTCTTTATATTACAGAAGTGTTGAACAGAACTTACATAATTGATTTGACTTTAACAAAACTTCTTTATATTACAGAGGCGTTGAAGACTTACAGAACTTACAGAATTGATTTGACTTTAACAAAACCTCTTTATATTACAGAGGTGTTGAACAGAACTTACAGAATTGATTTGACTTTAATAAAACTTCTTTAAAGAGGTGTTGAAGACTCACAGAACTTACAGAATTGATTTGACTTAACAAAACTTCTTTATATTACAGAGGTGTTGAACAGAACTTACAGAATTGATTTGACTTTAACAAAACTTCTTTATATTACAGAGGTGTTGAACACTTACAGAACTTACAGAATTGATTTGACTTAACAAAACTTCTTTATATTACAGAGGTGTTGAAGACTTACAGAACTTACAGAATTGATTTGACTTAACAAAACTTCTTTATATTACAGAGGTGTTGAACAGAACTTACAGAATTGATTTGACTTTAACAAAACTTCTTTATATTACAGAGGTGTTGAAGACTTACAAAACTTACAGAATTGATTTGACTTTAACAAAACTTCTTTATATTACAGAGGTGTTGAACAGAACTTACAGAATTGATTTGACTTTAACAAAACTTCTTTATATTACAGAAGTGTTGAAGACTTACAGAACTTACAGAATTGATTTGACTTAACAAAACTTCTTTATATTACAGAGATGTTGAACAGAACTTACAGAATTGATTTGACATTAACAAAACTTCTTTATATTACAGAGGTGTTGAAGACTTACAGAACTTACAGAATTGATTTGACTTAACAAAACTTCTTTATATTACAGAGGTGTTGAACACTTACAGAACTTACAGAATTGATTTGACTTAACAAAACTTCTTTATATTACAGAGGTGTTGAAGACTTACAGAACTTACAGAATTGATTTGACTTAACAAAACTTCTTTATATTACAGAGGTGTTGAACAAAACTTACAGAATTGATTTGACATTAACAAAACTTCATTATATTACAGAGGTGTTGAACACTTACAGAACTTACAGAATTGATTTGACTTAACAAAACTTGTTTATATTACAGAGGCGTTGAACACTTACAGAACTTACAGAATTGATTTGACTTAACAAAACCTCTTTATATTACAGAGGTGTTGAACACTTACAGAACTTACAGAATTGATTTGACTTTAACAAAACTTCTTTATATTACAGAGGTGTTGAACAGAACTTACATAATTGATTTGACTTAACAAAACCTCTTTATATTACAGAGGCGTTGAACACTTACAGAACTTACAGAATTGATTTGACTTAACAAAACCTCTTTATATTACAGAGGTGTGGAACACTTACAGAACTTACAGAATTGATTTGACTTTAACAAAACGTCTTTATATTACAGAGGTGTTGAACAGAACTTACATAATTGATTTGACTTTAACAAAACTTCTTTATATTACAGAGGTGTTGAACACTTACAGAATTGATTTGACTTTAACAAACCTCTTTATATTACAGAGGTGTTGAAGACTTACAGAACTTACAGAATTGATTTGACTTAACAAAACTTCTTCATATTACAGAGGTGTTGAACAGAACTTACAGAATTGATTTGACTTTAACAAAACTTCTTTATATTACAGAGGTGTTGAAGACTTACAAAACTTACAGAATTGATTTGACTTTAACAAAACTTCTTTATATTACAGAGGTGTTGAACAGAACTTACATAATTGATTTGACTTTAACAAAACTTCTTTATATTACAGAGGTGTTGAACACTTACAGAACTTACAGAATTGATTTGACTTTAACAAAACTTCTTTATATTACAGAGGTGTTGAAGACTTACAGAACTTACAGAATTGATTTGACTTAACAAAACTTCTTTATATTACAGAGGTGTTGAACAGAACTTACAGAATTGATTTGACTTTAATAAAATTTCTTTAAAGAGGTGTTGGAGACTTACAGAACTTACAGAATTGATTTGACTTAACAAAACTTCTTTATATTACAGAGGTGTTGAACAGAACTTACAGAATTGATTTGACTTGAACAAAACTTCTTTATATTACAGAGGTGTTGAAGACTTACAAAACTTACAGAATTGATTTGGCTTTAACAAAACTTCTTTATATTACAGAGGTGTTGAACAGAACTTACAGAATTGATTTGACTTTAACAAAACTTCTTTATATTACAGAGGTGTTGAACAGAACTTACAGAATTGATTTGACTTTAACAAAACTTCTTTATATTACAGAGGTGTTGAACAGAACATACAGAATTGATTTGACTTAACAAAACTTCTTTATATTACCGAGGTGTTGAACAGAACTTACAGAATTGATTTGACTTTAACAAAACTTCTTTATATTACAGAGGTGTTGACCACTTACAAAACTTACAGAATTGATTTGGCTTTAACTAAACTTCTTTATATTACAGAGGTGTTTGAGGTTCAGATGTATAAGTATATGACATACCAAGGTGTTTGACTTACTGATGTATTCCACTTTTCACTTACATAAGCATATGTTATGCTTTCAGAGTGTATTCCACTTACAGTGGTATTCGACTTGACATGGTTAAAGGGGCAACAAAGACCAGAGGCAGGTTGAGAGTAAGTCTTGAAAAATTGTCACAATATTTTTCTCCATCACAATCGTTTGAATTTTAAGTTCATCTACTACTCTGGCCAAAAACTAAATGAATTCTAGTGAATTTGAACATTTCTGCATCTGAAATATTCATTTACTTCTATATTTGATGAGATATCTCAATTCTGTTTTTAGCATTCTTTTTTAACATCTTTACAACATGTTACATTCCCCCTCCCTTCTTCTTTTTAATAAACTGAAAATTGTTTCACAATAGTGTTTGACATCACAGGTTGTGTTTTACAGAACACACTAAGCAATTATTTCGCATATAGTTTTGACAAATGAAATCCCATATATCTTGCATTCATTTAGTCTAAATTGATGATGTCCTTACAAAGGTGGAAGATGAAGTGTCAACTAAACATTGGCAGGTTGCATTCTATAAAGCATTTATCACTTTAAATATTAATATGATCATCTTAAAAACAATGAAATAACTTATTTCTTATAACTTATTTAACAATTCCAAGGTTTGAGTATATTGTTTTATGATTTTTTTCTTCTAATTCTACCCTTCATTGTCAAGTTTAGTTAATAAATCAATACAGAAGAAGTTGTATACTTTATTCCTAGGCTGCTATAAAGTGCCTGCCTCTGTGACCCTCCCCCATCACTCTCATTGAGACATCACCTTTTTACATACAGATCATACTTCCCAAATCGCAATTATTTAATGTTTTAAGGTGAGGAGTTTTTGCAGATGTAGATGTTGAACCAGATCATTAGAGACCAAATCTAAATAAGGGAAGGAAAAGAATCTTGAATTGATCTGGCAATGGAATGATGCAGATTGCAGAAGCATCTAAGATTTCACTAGTTGATCTATATGGACTAATAGTGATTAATAGTGTGTGTTATTTTGACATAACTAGGCATGCACTACATAATGTTTCAATTTCATCCCAGTCCATGATTCTGCTCATATATCATTCAGTAGTTAGTATTTTGGGGTGGACCAATGTCATTTTGAATATTTTTTTGTTCTGAAAAGGAAAATGAGTTTGCCTTTGGTTGTAAAATATGACATTAGCTTTTTAGCTTTATTAAGGAAAATAGATAGTGAGAAAATGACAATTCAGGTTTGTTGGAAGAAACACTTGGTCAAAATGGTTGAAAAATTACTGAAATAGGAGGGAGTTATCTAATGTAATTAAGAATGTCTTATAAGACTTTTAGGCTATACTACCTCACAAGAGAAGCTACAATATCTCTCAATTAAATGTATTTTGTATTAATTTTTAGGCAGCTAGCAGAGATAAACTTGTGGTTGAACTCCTCAACTACATCCTATAATAACAGTTCCGGCAGACGGATTTCAATTGTTTTTCAATGTGACCCGAAGGGGTAAAGTCAATTACGAAACTTTTGTTATGTCTGGGAGTTCACACAATGTTTACTTCAATCAGGATATGTGGTTTTTGATTTATGGCAATGAATTTTTGGGTTCAGCGAGCCAAACATTTGTGGTGTAAAAAATCATCAAAAAATTGGCAGAGCGTGGATTGAAATTTCAAAAATGAGGTCAAGTCATTAGGGCCACATGAATTTGTAACTACCCCTTGAGTGACTCCTGGTTTACCAAAGAGCTTTGTGGTCACACTCTAATGGGGAATATATCATAAACAGTCAAAATCTTAACAAGCAACGTCAATAAATGTCAATATATGCCGACTTTATCTATAAATTGTGGACAAGTTTCGGAACTTTCTGAGTGATGTTAAGGCTCAAGGTACCACCCATGGTCCGCCTTTTAACATTGGGTTTAAAGAGTGACATTGTGCTCCTGGTTGTTCACTATAGAGAATGGGGCTTGTGTTTTATTATATTTTGTTAATATTTTGGACTTATTATTTCAGAAGGGGGCTCAGGGAATGGTTGAAAAAGACTTATAAACAATATGATGTAATAATTAATTTTGAAATAATTAAAAAAATTTGAATGGCTAAAACAAAATCGTGAAATCACATTTTGTAAATCTAGTAGAATTTTATGACTTTAATTTTTCTACTATTTTAAGGAGAGGAATTTTCTTGTATTTGAAATGTTCATGGTTGATAAGTTTGCATTTACCTCTTGTTTCAAAAGGATTTCATACAGCTCATAGTGTATTCCTCACATGAAGCTTCTATGACTGCCTTGATCAATCAGATTAATCATCCTTGATGGAGGTCAGAAAATCAACAAAATGAAAATCAACATTGGTTAAAAAGGCAATTTTTGAACAAAGTGAACTGAAAGTGTGAAAAAATCTAAAACTGTCATAGAACTGTCACATGGATATGATTAATTGGTCTGCACATCTTCTCCCTGACAAATAATCTCATTTTGCTCAATGATTCATGATTTAATATATGAAATATGGCAGGAACTGGGAATAAATTTGGATGAAAAATCATATTTTGTCACATTATGCTACATTTAGAAATTAATCAAAATAACAAATTTCTTAATATTTTCATTATGAAAGAAAGATAAATGTAATAAAAGTGAGGAATATCTTGCAAAGGCAATCATCTTACAATCTCATATATCAATATTTCTACTAGTTCACTATAAAGTACAAACTACTTATGAGTGAAATGTCAGACCAGTTATGCTTTATAAGAGAATTAAAGTAAAAAATAGAGTAAACTGACTATATGTCATTAATGAGCACATTTATATTACTATTTTTATTCATATAGAAACCCTGTAAAATAATGTTTTCATACTTTCAACCATTCATTCATTAGTATATATACAAGACTTTGTGATATATCAGACACAGGCCACATTTAACTACCTTTTTGAGGACACTTATGTTTGGATGATATCAAATAAAGCAAATAGTAAAACATTAGTTGAAGACTAAACACTTTGTATAGAGTAAACACTAAATTTTGTTTAATGAATCAACATTTGATTTTTGTAATTGTTTGAATATCAAATTCATAATTCTTGAAAAAATCCGGATTTATTTTTAAGTCAAAAAGAGTATTTCAAAATATGTAACTTGTATTTGTCACCCGCCTCCTCTTTGTCTGCGTGTGTAAAGTTAACCCAGAATATTCAAAATATTGCTCAGGTGTACGATTAAACACAATTTACGAGCACTCAAATCTGGCAAAAAATACTAGAATCTAATTTGTCGGACTTCTCTTTAATTTGCCTTTAAATGTAGATCCTGTTGTTCACTAAAAGATTAATGTGTGGTCACTAAAAAGAATGCCTTATTTTTAGCTCAATTTCTACATATGTGCCTATTTTATCTCAAAACTATGAGATAAAAAAGTATTTAGTTATTTTGGGTCCATATGGTAGAAGTGTCAGCTATTAATTATCTGATGCTTGTTTTTATTAAAGCCTCTGTTGTAACTCATCATTTTCTTCCTAATTTTATATATAAACACATTAAAGACTGCACAAATACTTGTTTGATCATTCAAAAATTAAAACTTAAAAAGCCCATTTTGTAGATGAAAAGTGAACCTGGATGACATACATGTAGAGCCGTGTTATTTTCTCTATTACTAGAGGTATCTCATGAATGTTCAGAAATTGACAATTTGCATCAATTATATTCTAATCATGCCAGTTTCCAGAGATTGACAGGGAGTTTAAAAATGTAATGAAAGGGATAAAAATAAATCATCTCTCATTAAAATGTTATAAAGATGGCTATAACTGATGGAATGATGTTTGAAAGACAAGTGACACATGTTTTTATATATATGCCTCCACCCTTACGCTTAACCTTATAAAGTCAGCTCATAATTACAGTAACCTCAGGTATTTTACAGAATAATCAAAAATATCTAGTTTTTGAATTTGATTCATTTTAAACTATATTCTTGTTCAATTGAAAACTATAATTTTTTTAATTTTTTATTTTAGGCTTCTTTGAAGAATTAATACTTTCACCTGTATTATTTCCTTAGAAAAATGACTTTATATTTGAAATAAAGGGAAATAAAGAAAATAAAAATGTTATGCATAGCTTATGCAAATATATTGCATTAGATCTTAAGAAAATCCAGCATAATTCCTAATCTATTGTTGATTGAGAACATTGTTGAAAGGTTGTGTTAAGATGATGTTTAATGAGGAGTTGACTGGCCTACAGCCATCAATGTGTTTATGTGGGTATCTCTAGTACTACTTGAAACGATAAAATATGCACCAAGTCCACTTCCTAGTTATTTCTAAACACTATACTACCCTCATGTTGGAAATGAAAAAAAAAAAAATTGTTGTGTTGTAACAGCCTAGCCATGATGACAAATTATTATGCATTCCATTGTTTCTGACCAAAGAAGCCTCACCCATAAGATCAGAGGGGGGGGGGGGGCAGTCTCTTTATTTCAGATGTTTATTGGGACAGTCAGTATGATAGGGTCCCAATTTAAAGTGCACTACATTAGCACCTGACTCCAAACCTTGCAAATTATGTGGCAATTTTTCAACATGTCCTAGTTATGATTAATGTTCAAAAATATAAATTAATTTTCAAATGTCCCCTCAAACACTTTGAGAGTGAAATCTACAATTACCATGATTCAGTTTTAAAGATCATTATTCAGTTCATACACAGAGAAATCATTTTCTATAGTGTTAGCTATAATTGTTACAAATGTAGATCTGTCCCAGTGTGAAAAATGTTTTTGAACTTGTCTAAATATTGAAAATTGCATTAGGTTTTCATATAGCGAATCCTGTTTTTCACTCCTTGACATACTCATCAATTTACTTTATTTTTGATTATTTTTCACAATTTGAAGGGTTAAGTACATAGGCCTGGTTATTTAAATGCTAGGATGGGGATTCATAAAGCCAGAGGGTGAGATAAATAATAAATAAATCTCACTTTGAAGGATGGTACAGCTGTTGATTCATTGGGGCAGTTCTCCTAATGCCTAGAGAATTAATTCTATGCCAAGAGTGGATCACAATTTTATGTCCACAAAATCATCTAAAGTCTTGAGAAACTTTATAATAAAAAATGAAAAGGTATTTTTCAGGTAGTCTGTTAATGGTTTCATATACATAGGGATATGAACCAAATGATATGCATGAGTGAAACCTGAAAAGTGGGACACCTCTAGATGTGGAACGCCTCCAGTGGAATACTTTCCAAAGTCTCATGACCAACTGAGTTATGAACCCCTAATTGGTTCCTCTAACATGTTCCACTTTTTTTGGATTTGAGGTAATTTACAAATTAGTTCAATTAAAGACTTACAAAAAATTCAAGGAAATAAATGCATTAACAGTGCAAGTAGTCTCTCATTTCAATGTTATTGTTATATCTCTACCTGTCATGACTATCAACACAATATATTACAATTGTGATGACTAAGGATTATGACTCAGAAAACCATTAAATATAGCACCAAATAAAATATGATTTATTTCATAACAGAATTCAATTAACATACTGGAGATCTGCATAAGAAAATACTTTGTGCTTTCCATTTGTGACATATTCATTTATTCCAAATGTATATTAAACATAACTAAATCTGTATGTTAGAATGTGTGTTCAAGGGGAGGGGGTCAAAAGTGTTAAGGGTCATATGCTATCTTACCAAACCAGACTACTGGTTGCACACAAACAAGTCACAAATCAGCTATATATCCTGTCTACATATGGTGACAAATATCATGGAAATGCCAATTTGGCCCAATTTAAGTCACAAATCATAGGTTCATCCTGTTTACTGCTTGAAATAGTGAAACTCTTGAAATGAATGCATATATTTTCTCTAATATATTTGATTCAGGTGTCTAGTGTTTGTAACATCTGACCAAAGTATGTCTCTGGTGTAATAACTCAGCAACCATCAGAGCAATCTTCTCAATTTATTGCTCATTTTAATGCAATTACCGATGACCACATTAACTCTGAGTTAAAACAAACATTTCTAATTCAATGCTTTGTAAAATTCTCCATATTTTTTATATTTTTCATTTTAATATTTTTTCATATTTTACAGCTAAACAAGTTTTTTCTTATTTGTCATATTGTCAAAAAAATTTTCATTAAAACAAGATTCTACATATTTGTCATATTTTACAGCTTCTAAACAAGATTCCCCACACGCAGTTAAACCTTGGACATGACCAAATAAGGTCATCCTGACCTGACTAAAAAAGTTGCAATAAAAAACAGTTCAATCTTTTTGATCTATTTAATTGTTAAAACATCAAAGTTACAAATGCCATTAATGCTTTTAGCATGTTAAGAGAAAGTTAGAAAAGACTGAAACAGAAAAAACTAAAGTGATTCAGATCATAGGAAAGAATTGATAAATAAATAAATATTACATAAAACAGTACATGTCTGCTGACAACAGTCTATTCAACAGGATATACTGTTACTTAATTTTTACCCCCACATGTTGGTTTGCCTCTTGAAAATGAGCACTTCATTGTCATGGTTAATTGCAAAAATCTGAAGTGATGATCAGCTTCTCTTTTTGTTGAAGTATTTTATAATCAAATTAATTTTTATATTTTCTATACTTTTAAACACTCAATATTTTGGCATGATTTGAAAACCTCTTGGTGCAAATGTATCTGAAAATGGAGAGAATGCTTATAATTGCATTTAAATCAAACCTGAAGCAATCATTAGAGACTTTTTGTAAACTTTATCAATAAATTGTTGGACCTCTTTGCAAAAATTCTTTTGATGAGTGAAAATATAAAAATATATAGAGATCTATTGATCCATCCCTATGTTTTTCAAAAACTATTATATAATGCATATTCAATAACTATCGGTTTGTATGATGTTCAACTGTTATGTGAAAACATATGTAGCATTTGCATGACAAGACAAATAGAATATAACTTGATACATTGAATAAACCTTCAACATGTTTATCAAAATAGTTTTGCAAATGTCCTATTTGGCATAGAAAAAGAGATGCTATGATATATAATTACACCAACATCAAATTAAGGAAAACTGGAAAATAATTGTTATTGTATACAATCTCATAGAGATCCCTTTAGTTATGAAGTCCCTATATTCCATAATAAAAATGAAATGATTTTGTAAGAGGGACCATTCTCCAAGACACCACCCTTCAGTCTAGCAGGGTAACTTGGGAAAGTAATGTACTAAACTATTAGGCTGTTAGGTACAAGTAAGAAGGATGAGAAAGATTTTGTTGAATAAACTTGAATTGTTTATACAGGTAAGGATCACCATCCTACTGGTATGTTAAGAGATCTTCTATATTCAAGTGGATTCCTGATGGCAGAATGTCTCCTTGTTCCTGCTTATTACTTACATTTTCTCTGAAATCTCAATGAATTACCTCATTTTAAGAAATAACTAGACAGTCGGAAGTGTTGCTGATGTGCCTGTTTACTTTATTTCTCACCAATTCCACTCCTTGCCATTGTATTTTGCATTTTAAAACATGAACTGTGTTATGTTTTGCAGGAATATTGAGGCATTTAGAGTTAAATGATGCAGATAATCCAATGTGCCTACAGGTGGACTCTCCACTCAACAGATATCTCTCAAAGCCTATCAACAATCAAAAAAGTTTTAAATTCAAGACTGGATTAGCAGAGATTAAAGGCAAAGTGGCTTAAAGAAATTGCTTTACACTGGAAATCATGGTGTAGGCCTATTTGATAGATGTTGCCCTTTGTGCTTCCCTAAAGATTCAGTTGGCTGTAAAATAGATGCACCAAAAGTGGAGAACTTCAAATAATTTGACATTATGCAATTCGTTTAAAATGGCTTGATCCATATGTTATGCAATTCATTTAAAATGGCTTATTCCATATGTTATGCAATTCGTTTAAAATGGCTTATTTTATATGTTATGCAGTTCATTTAAAATGGCTTATTTTATATGTTATGCAATTCATTTAAAATGGCTTATTTTATATGTTATGCAATTCATTTAAAATGGCTTATTTTATATGTTATGCAATTCATTTAAAATGGGTTATTCCATGTGTTATGCAATTCGTTTAAAATGGCTTATTCCAAATGTTATGCAATTCATTTAAAATTTCTTGTTCTATATGTTATGCAGTTTGTTTAACTGGTTTATTCTATATGTTATGCAATTTGTTTAAAATGGCTTATGCCATATGTTATGCAATTCGTTTAAAATGGCTTGTTCCATATGTTATGCAATTTTTTTAAAATGGCTTATTTTATATGTTATGCAATTCGTTTAAAATGGTTGATTCCATATGTTATGCAATTCGTTTAAAATGGCTTATTCTATATGTTATGCAGTTTGTTTAAAATGGCTTATTCTATAGTTTATGCAATACATTTAAAATGGCTTATTCCGTATGTTATGCAATTCATTTAAAATGGCTTATTTTATATGTTATGCAATTCATTTAAAATGGGTTATTCCATGTGTTATGCAATTCGTTTAAAATGGCTTATTCCAAATGTTATGCAATTCATTTAAAATTTCTTGTTCTATATGTTATGCAATTCCTTTAAAATGGCTTATTCTATATATTAACTGTGATTTTTACAAAAAACAACAAAAAATGTGATTTTTACATAATTTTTTTGGGTTCATAATAAATATTAATGTTTCAATGAAATAAGGCAAAACAAGCATTTATATTGAAACTCCCATCATGGTACCAGATTATTTAAATGTATTAAACCTCACCTTGTTTTAACTTGCTTAATAAACAAAGCTGACAAAGTGATCAACAAAAATCCAATAAGTTTATGTTGAATATTGTTGAATTAGTAACAAAAGTCAACAACAGCCAGCACAGACAATTTCTTACTTAACAAAACTTAGTTCAAAAGGTCAAGTCGGGCCTTTCATAAATGGATTAATAATTTTGACATTAAAATGTCTTGCATTCTGTACGGTTTGTTTTATGAATGAAGTAGTCAGTTATGAAGATATAATTTGCTTTTTATTGCTTTTTTATGTCTTGCTGTAACTTCAGGAAACATTAGAATAAGTTTCTTTATATGCTTCATGCACTTCTCATATGAGAAATGTGTGAAAATACGGAAATAAACATATTACAGATTAGTAAAAAAATACTGACTTGGGCAAGGCTACATATTACAGTGCAGAGAAAAACAGGAAATGAGAGGATAGAAGAATATTCTTTTTATTATAAGAACTATATTGGAACTTTAGTGGGAAGTTGAAATCTTAAGATGGTATTTGACTTTATTCGGAATGATGATTTTTTGTTTTTGATTCAAAACCCATTAATCAGAGTCATGTCACATTCTTGACCAATTTATCAAATAGAAGTTTTCAGGTTGTATTTCTATGTTATTTATGTCCTTACAATTTACATCTATGATTTATTTCCAAAGTTGATATTTATGCTTATTTATTTTGTTCATCAATATTTAATATTTAAACGTTGTAGTTGAAATCAGGAGGGATGCTTTATATAATGTATTACTACCACACTGTATTTGTAGATCATATTGTAAAGTAAAATAATGAAACCATAGAAACTTAACACTGTATTAGTGTACATTTCTGTTATTATCCCAAAAACAAATTCTGATTGTTCAACATCTGGATTGTATTTGGAAGAAGGATGTACAATAGAAAATAGTTTAATGCATTTTTTAATTTGCTGTTTAAAAATATCATTTCAAACCTCAGATAAGTGCCTCAGATTAGTGCCTCTCAAAATCCAAATTGACACTATCCTAACTATTGAAAAGGAGAATCTTCTGATTGAGATTTTTCAATATACCATGAAAGTCTCAGTTCCATTTGGAAATTGTAGAGGGGTTGGAAATTCAAAATGTTAAAATGAGAAACTGGAGAACTGATAAAAAAAACAAAAACTTGAAGTGAACTTGCATGATGTGAACTCTCCATAATTGCATTATAAAAATACATATTAGATAGTTCATTGAGTTTTCATACACGGAGTAAATGCATCAGGGAGCATGGCCAGAGAGATGATACTTTGGGGTAATGGTATGCCATCGGCAAAACAGCCCTAATTCACGCCGGGCAAACGCCTGACTTTTTATCTGGAGTTATGGATTTATCTGGCCTCACTGGCCTATCTGAGGTTCTAAAGCTATGTCTAAGCTACATTTTGACACTAAACTCAATAGGGGCCAAACATCTACTTTTTGAAATAATTGGTCAATTGTGACACTACCCCCTCTCTGCCGACAGAAATTGAAATTCACAAAAATGAAGGCAAAATTAATACGCCATTTTCAGAAGAAATGGCATGTTGTCATTAGAAAAAGATGACAACTGTACCTACATACTAGCTTACTGACTCATCATGATCACAATTGTGTTGGGACTACATTCATTTTTTAAAACTACTTTTCTTATTCAGCGGAAGTGACTTTTTAGGGCATTTTGGCCATCCACACTGTTCCAACTGACCCAGCATTAACCTGGCTATGTGTCAGTCAGAAGAGGAGCAGTTGGCAAGCCATATTTTATTGGCCACTGACAATTTTACACCATTTCTGACCTGAAAATGGGATTTTGTCATGAGAACTCTACACAATTATCTTAATGATGTTCTCCCATGCAGTTGGGAAGAAATCTCTTCATAAAATTCATAATTATAAATGAGTAGAATATAAAATACATAAGCAAGAGTTGTAGACTTGGTAACACAATGGAATTGATGTATAGAAAAAACAAAATCAAAAAATATCACAAAATCAGGCAAATGCTACAAATACTTGTGAAAGGGAATATATATTCAATGGAAATATTAAGCATAGGATACATCATAGAATAATCTAAGATAGTTAAAATGCAATCATATGATTTTATTGTGCCTCATTAAAAACTGATAAAGTTAAAATTTATTAGTTTGTTTGTTGTATTGATGCATGCCATACAGCTGCATATTTTAGTCACATTTCAGTCTGAGAGGTGTTTATATTTCAGTCTTAGGGATTTGCTAGAGATATTGCTGTAAATGCTGTTTACAGTTTATTAAATTAGATATAATGATAGATTGAGTAAACAGTTAGATATATTGCGTAAACAGTTAGATATATTGAGTCTTTAATTAGATATATTGAGTCTTTAATTAGATATATTGAGTCTTTAATTAGATATATTGAGTCTTTAATTAGATATATTGAGTCTTTAATTAGATATATTGAGTAAACAGTTAGATATATTGAGTAAACAGTTAGATATATTGAGTAAACAGTTAGATATATTGATTAAACAGTTAGATATATTGAGTCTTTAATTAGATATATTGAGTAAACTGTTAGATATATTGAGTAAACAGTTAGATATATTGAGTAAACAGTTAGATATATTGAGTGAACAGTTAGATATATGAAGTGAACAGTTAGATATATTGAGTAAACAGTTAGATATATTGATTAAACTGTTAGATATATTGAGTAAACAGTTAGATATATTGAGTAAACTGTTAGATATATTGAGTAAACAGTTAGATATATTGAGTAAACAGTTAGATATATTGAGTAAACTGTTAGATATATTGAGTAAACAGTTAGATATATTGAGTAAACAGTTAGATATATTGAGTGAACAGTTAGATATATTGAGAAAACAGTAAGATATATTGAGTAAACAGTTAGATATAGTGAGTGAACAGTTAGATATAATGAGTATTTAATAAGATATATTGAGTAAACAGTTGGATATATTGAGTGAATAGTTAGATGAGTATTTAATTAGATACATTGAACATACACCTAGATTATGCTCAATATACAATTCAATATACTAAGTATTCAATTAGATACTGTATATTGAATATTTAGTTAGATTTTTTGAGTTAATGATTAGATATATTGGGTATACAGTTAGATATATTGAGTATTTAATTAGATATATCAAGTATTTCACTAGATATGCTAAGTATACAATTAGAAAATATATGAACTCTACAGATTCTGGCTTCAGGTGCATGCACAGAAGGATATTTAAATTAAGATGAGATCATGACTTCCAGGATTGTAGGCCTGCCATGTATATGTGGTGACTTATCAGAACCCACAGCTTTCCACTTTACACATTCTGTCTATAACAGCCTCAAGCTACCAACTAAATTGGCAAAATGATAATTTAAAGTCAAAACATTTACAAAAACTGTGAGTAAATGAGCCATTTGTAATTGATAGAAACCTTTCAGAGAATACAAAGCACATTCAAACCTTTTAAACTGCATAGATCTGAATTTCCATAGCTTTTGATATTTAGATTTTCAGATGTTAGAATTATAACTTGTTGCATATCCTCCTACCTCCCTCTGAGGTTGTTGCTCAAAATATGAGTAAGGGTCAGTTTATGAAAAGTTTGCGTGCTGTTGTTACGTACGCCTGTTGCCCACGATCCAATCAGTCTTGTTAAAACACTTTGGGATATTACTGTAATTTATATGTGCCTTTAACTTTAAAGGATTATAGTAAACCCATCCCTTTATGTTTAAAGATTGCCTACACCATCCTTTAAATACCATTTGAGTATCATTTCATATCTAAATACAAACATTGATATCAAGATATCAACGAGCTTGTTTAATGGAACTGCTTTTAAATGCCTGGTCATTTTTAACGAAATATAAATCTTTGCACTATAACTGCACTATAAATGTTTTAATTGTGAGTAATTATTACTCATGTTTTAATTGTGAATAATTATTACTCATGTTTTAATTGTGAGTAATTATTACTCATGTTTTAATTGTGAGTAATTATTACTCATGTTTTAATTGTGAGTAATTATTACTCATGTTTTAATTGCGAGTAATTATTATTACTCATGTTTTAAGCTTTAGTCAATATGAATGAGACTCAATGTTAGTCTAAGATGGTCCTCTATCCATGATAACTTGACTTTCTAAGAGATTC